AAAACAGAAATAGAGCGCGATTGCATTGAAATCGATGGAAAATTTAATATTTTAATTCTTCTATTCGCGGAAAATGGATCTACTCCCTCATGGCATTGACAATTACTGTTTAAATCGTGTCTTGGAGTGTTGTCATTACCATTGTCAATTTCACATGGTAATTACCCGTGGAAACATGACCGCAGGCCCATAAAAACTTGAGAGTGAGTAATCGCGAGTGTTTTGAGATCAATGTTCATAGTTTTTCCGAAGGAAATGTATGTTTCTGGTCATTGATAAGCCTTTTTCGTATTCTTCCAACCGTATCACATGAACATTACCTCCTTATTTGTAATGATTACCCTCGATGTACGATCAGGTTAATGCTCGGTAGATGATTTATCTCAAGGTCAAATCCTTACCTGAAGACTGTCTTCAGGAACTCTCAGGAAATAAACCCCAGCCCTCATTAAACCCCGTTTTCTCATTCGATAACTCATCTATTTTCTTTCGCGGGGCGCAATTTCCTCCGGAGTTCTTGTCATTGGATGAGGAAATTTTCCACTTCGATGATGCACACTCCAAGGTCAACTACTACATAAAAGAGAATATATTCTGCATAAACTGACTGTCCGTTATACCCCGGGGTGAAGACATCAGACGTCGTGGAATTTTCGAGAAGATTTTTGCGGATGTTCTTTGAAATTATTTTTTTTTGGGATTTTCCTCGGTGAAACTCAGATTGGAATTCAACAAAAAAAGACTTACAGATGACGATGATGATGATGTTTATGAATTTCTAGGTATTTTCGTGCTGATGACCCTGGGGCTCCTGGGGCTGGCATTCGGATGCACCATCCTCGTGGTTCAACCCTATGAACTGCTGTTCAAACTCAAAGTGATGTTCGGGGATAACGGGGAGATATTCGAACTCTGGAGGAAGCCACCTGTGGAGTTGTACCTCAAGGTGTACCTGTTCAACGTCACCAATCATGAGGATTTTCTCGCTGGAAGAGCGGACAAGCTGAGCTTTCAGCAAGTTGGGCCTTACGTTTACAGGTGTGTTCATATCTTCCGGTTAATTTCGAGTCGAGAATGTACCTCGTTAAAGGGTAGGGCCGATGCAATTACGGCGCCATTTCTCACACCCTTTCCAGTTTTTTTCTCTGAAAAATGTGTGAAAGGTGAATTGAGAATTGAATTGAGAGAGCCACGACTGAACACTCATAAATTCAACTATCAGGAAAATAATGAGCGTCCTACAGCCCTATTTTATGGTTCGTTTCTCCCACGATGGAATTATGACGTATCTGATACGAGAAACGCAAACAGATTGACGTGCTAATTGAAAAACAGCTGTTCCTAATCACCTGGGAACAGCCTAATCGGATTACATTTGAGAAAAAATTCAATCAATCTGTCAACTTGTTGACCGAATTCAGTGAATGGAATCGGAAAGACTGGTTTTGCTAAAATAAAGACCTGCAAGATAAAAACAGCATAATTAATCTGTTGTTGAAATCCTAAAGGAATTTACGATTTGTATTTTTAGATTCGAGAGAACCACCGGAATTATTTGCATAGAAATAGAACCGGTGATTGATGAAATTAATTGAAGAAATTTGAACATTTAATTAATTTATTTGGAGTACTGTAAGGGTGTTGTTTTGTTTGGAATTTTTTAATGCAATTCCATGTTTAGATATTTCCTGTCGGTTTTATGGTGGGCATTGTTTTTTTTTTTCAGGGAGTATTTAGAGCACTCGAACATTACATTCAATCCGAATGGTACTGTGACATCCTATCCCCACCATCCCCTGGTCTATCAACCCGACAAGAGCAATGGAACCGAGGGAGATATACTAATCTTACCAAACATAGCACTACTGGTAAGTACAATTATCTTTCACTTCTGTTCGACAATAACAACTGGAAAATTGCCATTTTTTCCATCCAAATACTGTTATTATCACCAATAAACCGACAATGCACTCATGCCCTCTCCTTTCTCAACCCGCATTTCAAACTCATCTAATATTCGTTAAAATAATCAATTTGTTGGGCGGAAACTCCGTGTTTTGTTAATAATAAATAATTGAATCCGGTGGAAATGATTTTTAGAAGGGGAAAATGTGGTTGAGATGTTTTCTTTTATTTTTCCTGTGTGACTTTGAATTTCACCAGACGTGTTTGCAATCCAGACATGTCTTGTGAGTCAGAATGAAATTAGCGGAGTCATTGGGGGAAGATCTTCGGTGCATTAACTCCGATAAATAACAATTTACTGATGATTGCGCTGATGGATGATTACGGAGTTGATTGACGGAGCCTGCAGTTAGATTCATTGTGCCAGCGATTTATAATTTTACGGTAGCTATTGAGTTCCGTTATTAATTTCCACGAGTAATCGATTGACTCTCACCGCAGAAATTTCAATAAAATCCACGAATTCAATTGTCACTGAAATACAGCGATAAATTCTCAAGTAGATCAACCCCCGAAAAAATCACATGCGAACTCTGACCCCCGCAATCGCAATGAGAAATTATCCGATAAACACCAGAAATTGGGGCGCACTCTGGAAATAAAAATCAATTGCAAAAGATTCTGTAGATGTGCAATAATGTCAATAATTATATCTTGCTGAGGTCACGAGCGGTAAAAATGAAAGCGCGGATAAATTTCCATTGCCCGCCAAAAATAGCTGAATTCCTTGAGTAAAAACAATACCGACGACTCGGTTTCCCCGATTTTTCACCAAAAATACGAAAAAATTAGCATTCGACCCCTCATTAATATGCAGCCCTCATGG